TCCATCGGGTACTTGGAAAGGTCCATGTCACAGGCCACTGTTGAGGTAATCCTGTTCCAAGCAACACAACAGCAGTTAGTTGCATTCAGAGCCTTTTCCTCAGAAACCCAAAGACTGAATGGAAAACTTTGAGACCTTAATACTAATAAAGGAAATTATTTTAAAAATCCTTGTGGCTGCTGGCTCTCCTGAGCCTGGGGGAAAGGCAAGGGCAGGGGAACTGGAGAGAGGTCAAATGACCTGTCGAATGTCAGGAGATGCTTCAGCTACTTCTAATAATAAAAGGGAATTTTCTGGTTTAATCTACTCCTTTTCACTGTCCCCAAGATCACTAACAACACCTTGAGGGCAATTCTGGACTTAAACTTTCATTATTTTTTAGAACATTACACCATTAGCTTTCAACAGAGTTACTGAATTCCAACAAGAGCACTCTTCAAAGGGAGGGAATGCTGCTTACTCTGTTTGAAAGATGGGGAAGTTGGGCCTAAATCAGGCTCACAGTTCCTTGGAAACCAGTGAGAGAGAGGAGAACAGAACCTTTGCTCTGTACTCAGCATCTCTTTGCCTGGTGACCAAAGCTATGAGACACTTGTCTCCCACCAAGGACGTTCCAAACGTGATCAGTGACTATGCAGAGCAAAATGTGTTAGTGTTGCCAAAGACACTTTCCTGGCAGTGAAATCCTTGTAAAGCAAAGGGATCTCTGATAGGAGATTTTCTTCCATTTTCATAATTATTTCAGGAAACCATCCAAGGCAAACTGAGTGATTACTTTATAGTCTGTTCAAGAAGTGAATACACAGGAGCACATTTGCTCTCACTCACCTGATGCTGTACAAAATGACTCCATCTGGCTGGAGCCTGATAAGTTTGTTTTCCACAGTCACATCATGGAACCAGGCAGACTTGGCATTGACTATGAAAGTATCTGGCAACCAGAGCTTGTCCACAAACCTGCTGTCTAGGCCCAGAGTCTCATTGGTGTGGTTGTAAGACAGACGGTCGTCTCGCCAGCTCTGGTGCAAAAACACTGTCATGGTGTATTCCTGGGGCAAGAGAAATCTCAATTAAGAAGTGATGCTGAACAAACACAATGATAATGTCTTGGGACTTGGCCAAAAATCACGGTGTTAGCCTAGAAATGTATTATCTGGTTCCAGTGCAAACAAGTGTTTTTATACCTAGTTCATGCTGGAGCTGCACAAGCACTTTGACTTGTGCCATGTCCTTCTGGCATGGACAGCCCCAAATTACCACAGTGTGATTCGGTGTGTGCGTGTCTTAGTAAGGAAAACAGTACAACTTTTGGTTTGAAGGGTTTCTGAAGCTAAAGCAAGAAATGTGGTAACGTACCATGTTCACTTCTGAGATGTGGTCAATGCTGGCTACCTCGATTGCCAGAGCAACGTTCACGGGAGGACCTGGGGAAAAACATTTGAATGTGGTGATTGACATCATCTTAGCACCTATGGAAATACAAACGAGCCAGGGCTGTGAATCTTTCATACAGGGTGAGGTCACAGAAGTGTACACTGTCCAAGGAAAACCTGCCTTAAAGCAAGAGATTTAAACCTTTAGCCGATTGCACCTCAATTTCCAGAACACCTCACTCAGTGATGAAGGACTTGAGATACAATCACAGCTCCTGAAAACTATGGAAACCTTTCTGGAATCACATCATCTAGTGCAAGACAGCATGACTTCGAGCAGATGCAGAAATTATCACCATTTAATGCAATACCAAATTCCTTTGACTGCTTTAAGAGCTGCACGGTTTGTCTCTTGTCAAACTCACACAAATTGTTGTTATTTTTTTCCAGCATCCAAGTAAAATCATGTAAAGGACGAAGCTCACACAAACAGAGGGTAGAAGGATTTTAAGAACAAAAGGGACATTGTTGTCCAGGTCTCACCTCCAATGCCAGGCCTGAAATTCCGAGCATATCCCTTCATCAGATCATCCAGATTGGGCAACCAGGATATTTCAATGTTGGAACCTATGTAATCTCCAATGTCACTCATAGCTCTAGGCACAGAGAACAAAGATCTTTTAAAACTTGGCCATGTTTACACACAGAAAAATAACAGAGAATGGAAGACATTGACTTCTTTGGCCATGTTTACACACAGAAAAATAACAGGAAATGGAAGACATTGGCTTCTTTTACACCAGAGAGCACCTACAGTACAATCAGCTCTATTGGAAATCCAGTGGGAAAATAAAGGAAGGAAAACCATTTCAGGAATTTCAGTGTAAATCAAGGTGTATTTCAGGCAAGACTCTGGTCTCTGGAGCACCTACAGTACAATCAGCTCTATTTGAAATCCAGTGGGAAAATACAGGAAGGAAAACCATTTCAGGAATTTCTGTGTAAATCAAGGTATATTTCAGGCAAGACTCTGGTCTCTACCTGAAACACAAGTACATACTTTTAAAAGTTTTTTCCTTTTAAAAAAAGTAGGAAAATAGATTTAGAAACTTAGAGAAAGTATGAGGGAAACCAAGATCCTTTGTACACTGCATCCAATGCATCTGTGGATGCTGAAATGCAGCTGTGGCAGCTCTTAGTGAACTATGGAGCAGCTGAAATTGGGGAGAGTGGTGTAGTGTCACATGGGAAGGGAAAACAGGAGAAACTGCACATCTGGGATGTGGATAGCAGGCAGGAGGTTTGGGGTTTGGCTGGGACATGCCACAGCCCTCGCAGCAATGAGGTGCCAGGAATGTGCTGCTTGCTGACCCAGTGAGACTCCCTGAAGACTTTACCCCAGGTTCTTGTTGTCATGTTCCACCACCTGGAGCTGCCTCTCAGCTACATGTGGATATTCCATCATCTCTTACAAACAAAGGCAAGATTATGTTGTCTTCATTATGTGTTTAATCTGAGCTGGCAGACTTCATCTGAAGAAGATCTGTGCCTGCTCACATCACTGCTCTTGCCAGCACAGTGATTGACAGGACAGGAATAGATAAATGAGGGACTGGGACGACGTCTGCCACGACTATCTGCAAAGAGCAGAATTGCCAGTGGTTCAGGAGGGTCTGTGGCTGACTGCAAGGACAGGATCAAAGCTGCCTGAGCTCTGGTTAGCATCTTGCACTGAGCCCAGCACTCGAGAGACACCTATGACTAGGAGCAGAAGAGACACTGGTTAAACACCAGTGCTACACCACAAACACATTCTGCCTTGGTACTTACATAACTTTCTCAGAGTGTTCATGTGACATTGACCCACATAAGGCACATGGTTTTCTCTCCCAGTTATGCCAGCCTGGGCACTCAGCTCGGCACGTGCAGGCAGTGCTAGCACAGCAGCAGAGTATCCCACAATAACCAACTCTTCTGCTCACAGGGGACTGAAAGAAAAATCTTTGATTGCTCTGGTCATAAAGTCCTGTCTCAATTATGTAAGGAAGGAGTTCTGGGATCTTGGTGTACAAATGCAAGTTCTGAGCAGCAGAGACACCGAAAACTTGCGTTAGCAGAGCTGTCAAGGCTTATGTGACCTTACACTGCTCCAAGGGAAACTTCATTAGTTCCCAGCAAAATGTTAACGTTGGAGAGATATACTAAACTGCATTTCAAACATTTCCTTGCCATGAGCACATCGCTGCGTGTTCCTCTCACAGTTCTAGCCCTGCTGTTTCTCAGGTTCCACTCTCTCCTCTGAGTAAGGATCTTGGAAGTCATTTTCAGCTGCACAAGTTGGAATAATATCATTGATTCAGGCAAGGGCTGTGAAGATTTATAACAGATGTTGACAGAGGTTTTTTCCTTCTGTATTTGGTCTCCTCAACCATCTAAACATCTCTGTCTCTCAGGGTGCTGTTTCCTCCGTGCTGGTCTTTCAGTCATCCAGCTCTCAGCATTTACTTAAATGAAGTTATAGTTTCATAATATTTGGCAAGTTTGTTTAAAAACCTACTTGTTTGTAACTTACAAATCTCAGCCACAGATATGGGATGGTGATCCTAATCAGTAAAATGCCTGAGCTCCCTTTATAGGTAAAGAATGATTCTTTGTCTTTTCCTAGAGTAACTACAACGCACTTGAGTTAATATCTCTTCCTAAAATCTCTGCCTTTTCCACAGAAGTTGGTGCTTTTCTACTCCTGTTGCTAAACCTGCTGCCAAGTTGTGTAGTGTTCTGCAAACAGAACTCGGGTCAGGAGGTGGTGACCCATCTCTGATCCATCCTGCTCTGCTTTGACAAAGCACTTGGGGTGCAGAGCTCACTACTCTGTTTCAGGGCACTAAGGACAGACACAGACCTAAAAGGAGTGGAAATGACAAGAGCTGGGTTAAAACTGTGGGCTGTAGCCTGCCATGTGTTGGAAGCAGATTACAATCTAGAGGGAGTTTTACTTAAATATCCATGACACAATTAAAATAAATCTCGCTTCTATTATTAATAAAGCCTTAGGGTCAGATCATCAGTGTAACAAATGTGCTCAGGTTAGTGGAGCTATATGCACTTAATACCAGTAGCTGTTGGAGTATCACGGCTGGAATAATTTGATGGCTGCATTTACCATGTTGTGATAACTCCTTTGAGCCATTCCTCGAGGATTCTGCACAGCAGATCCAGCTACGTGAGGGACAGTGGGAGAATGTCACTCATCCTTGATAACTATTGGGACCATACATGGCCTAAAATATTAGTCATTATTGCACCTGAAAAAAAGCAAGACCAGCACAGAAAAGGTGCATGGGAAGGGATTAACTTCTCACAGTGTAAGCAGCAAAGATGAAAAGAAAGGAAACTACTATTAGTTGATTCAGCAACTTCTCTGCCCAGCGTGGGCTGCTGTGGAGATTGTTTCAGTGAGCAAGAGACTTGGTAAAATTAAGGTATTGGTAAAATCCAAGGGGTAACACAGCTCATCCAAAGGGTTTCTTTGGTGTGCCCCAGGCCAGCGTGGGGTTCCTCAGTGATGGATGGCAGCACTCGTGGGCACTGCCACACTCTGCAGGCCATTCCCAAAGCTAGAGCTGAGGAAGGTGGTTGTTCACCCACACTGACTCTGTACACAGCTCATTGCACGCAGATATTTCGCAGAATTTGTTTGCATCCGCCCATATCTGGAGTTTAAGCATTCTGAGAACTTCAGCTGAGCTCATGGTTAGCAGCAGAAACAGATTGCTGCTGTTCAAATGGTGAAAGAAATAGTGAGTTCTCTTGTACACTAGACAAAGGGAGAAGGAGATCCCCACTGATAAACTGGGCAAACCTATGGAGTTCTTCTTCCCCTAATAAAACTGCCCTTGACACAGGCTAGGAACAGCAACCCCAAGCAATGAAGGTCAAGTGGTGGCAGAGAAAAGCATCTCTTTGAGAGCTAAGTGCTATCAGTAATAGAATAAAAAGTACAAATAGCCCAAATCCTTTCTGACATCCTCCTCCAGCTGCTGCAGGACCATTGCATCCTGCTAATGTGGAGTGATCTGGAGGAGAAACATCAACCAATTGAGACAGCACATCCTTAAAGGGCTTGTCAGGCAAGAGAGGTCTTAGCCTGGCTTTGCCCCATTCCAGAAATTTCTTGGAAACTGCTGCTAGAAGTGTATCAATATTGCTAGACAATATCTGGTATTTAAACCACACCAAGTCAAGAGGCAATTGGTAAGTTGTGATTGAACCAGAGCACTGCAGCAGATAACAAGGGATAACACTTGCAGGGGGTGTGCACTGACCTTCTGACAAACATGTAGAGCAGTGAGATGTGGAAAATCACTTTTTTGCATCTTCTGTTTCATCTTGAAATCTGCTAACCTGACTCCTTTGGGGACTGTGACATAGTTGTTATGTGAACCTTTTAACCTGCTAGATGGAAAAACCAGTTTGACTGGAGGACTGGGGAGGAGCACATGAGATGAGAATTTAGGGGCAAATGTCCCAGATGTCATTGCCACTGAGGGAAAGTTTTCCTTGGGAAAAAGGCAGGGAATATCATGCAAGGTCAGCGAACAATCTGGCCCCTGTCAAACTCTGGGATTATCCAGAGCAGTATGTGTATCCTTCCCATCTGCCATTCCTGACTCTAAGTGACGCTTGCTGTAAATGTGTTTTGTGTTTTGAAATGTAATTGAAAAAGCATTAGGCTTAATTCACAGCAACCTTTAGAACATCAAAGCCTCTCTGTGAGTTTAAGCTACAGAAAATGGACCACTCTGTATAAATTCACGTGTCAAAGCTGCTCAGTCTCCACGAATAGCAGTGAAAGGCTTAGGGAGACACAGCAGAAGGACAATTACATGCAAGTGTATAAAACTCACTTCACATAGTAGAGTCTTCAACATAAAAGATACACCTATCTTTAGTCAGAGAAGTAAGATTTCCTTCAGTAAGGAATTAGCATGACTTACACCCCAAACTCCTCTCAACAGTGTCTTTCCCCACACAAATGAAGAAATCTCTCCCCAAGTGTCTCTGCAGATGATCTCATTTACTGTGGCACATGTATCATTGCAGCATCCACAGCACATCAAACCCTGATGAGATAACGGAAGCCACAGTCCTTGTCCCACAGAGCTGTCAATCATCTAAATGCCAAATTTTTCAGCCACTAATCACTGTCTTGAGCAGATCAAAAAATACTACTTTTATAAATGTTTACCTGAAAAATGTGCTGACTTAGGCTGAATTTGGCTTATTCACTCCGGATGGAACACATGACAGAGCAATTGCTTCACGCACAGCTCAGGCAGCCTGGAGGGATGCTCGGAAGGCTCCAGGAAGCAGACTGCTCCCCACCCCCTCCTCTGCCAATCCAGAGCATCACTGGCACTGGCAGTTTTGGGAAGTCCTGTGTCCTACCACTGCGTTCCCCACTCGCCAAAATCTTCCTTTTTGGAGTGTGTTGTTCTTACACCTGTCAATATCCTGCGCACAGAGCTCCCGGGAGATTTTCGGGGGTTGGATGGCCTCCGTCATCATGATCATGAGCCACATTGCTTTTAGAGAACAAAACCAGAGCCTTAAAAATGTAGGGATTGGGAGTTTTGCCCATTATTGTACTGCTCTGCACAAAGGCATCTCAAACCAGAAATGATTTTACTGGTGCAAGGATTACACTTTGCTCTGGTTCTGTTCCCTGACCCAAAGTACACGTGTAAGCAAAGCTACTCCTCTTCACGAGATGGAACAATGTCCTGCCCGAGCCACACTGATCCTAAGTCTCCAGGACACTGCTGTCACAAACAGAGCAGCTTTCCTTGACCATGGAATGTCTCACACTTCGGCATATTTGGAAAACTACAAGCTGCACAGTTGGAATTTCAGGAGCTAGAATTCGCCTTGCCTGACTCTGCCACGGGGAGGTATATTGCTAACAAACAACTCCTCACTGTTGTGTAACTGGAGGGAGAAAGTCAAGTAACTAGGGAATTAATCCAAATGTAAAAGAATGGAGCCAGCAAATTCTAGGCTGCACACGTCCTTGTTGCTGTGCCTAGGAGCAGACCTTGAAGACAGGCTTAGAAGACTGACTCTCCCTTAGAATCCTTCTTCTTAATTCCTTCATGCTCAAACACCACTTTTCAACCCCAAGCCTCAGTGCTAGCTCAAGTGCAGAGGGAGAAACAGGATCATTGGAATGATGGGCAAGATCTTGGTACCCTTAGGTCATGAGCAGCATTTCCTCTGCCTTCACTGTAATCCTGGATTGCTTCAGAGCCTGAGGATGTCAGGATCTGACCCTGGATAACAGACTCAAGGTCACAGGATAAATCATTCTGCCAGTCCTAAGTAAGAGCAGTTGACTTGACACTTCCTCTAAGCAAGATCCTTTTCCTTCCCACTGAAAAAATCTTATCGGTTAATTCCGAAAACTATAACAACAATGTTATGTCTTAACTACAGTCATCACTTTGCCTCTGAAGCTGTCCCTGATGCCTCTGAGGCAGAAGATGGAAGACCCCTGGAGTGCCACAGCCACCCCTGCTCTGGGGGGTGTAGGCATGTTTTTACATGCAGCAAGTTCTTTCTTACTCCCCCTTCTATTTTCATTGCGTAATCATGGCAAGATTTCTCCACATACAGCCTCCAGATCCCAGAGAATATATCGAGCCCAGCGCTGGTTGCCTAGCTAACACCTTCGGAGGAAATGTGCCTGAGAGCTGCAAACATACATCTTTCTTTACAATCTATTATTTTAAGCAATGGTTGGCGTCCTCCAAACGCTTTTCTTCCCTAAGATCTCTCACAGTCTCTTGCTGTTATCCCGAGTTCAGGAGACTTCACGAGCCCATTAGAAAGCAATGGTTGTGTTTTGGGGTTTGATTGGTACCTCTGGAGGTCCTAAGCAAAGCTATTCGGCTCGCACTGAGGTGTATGGAAGAGTTCCATGTTCAAACAGGCCCCTACAGAGCGGCTGGAGGGGCTGAGGCTGTGCTGGGATGTGCAGTGCCTTACAAAAAGTGATTGCCCCCAATTTAGAGTAAGCACCCCCAGGAAAAAGCTTCCAGAGACATTCTGTAAAAACACAGCCCTGGATGAGCCCAAGAAACTGTGCTCAGTTAGCAGAAGTGCATCCTTGGCTAGGGAAGAAGGAGGGAAAAGACCCAAACAGATGAGGCAGATTAAAGAAACTCTTCAACCAAGAGCCTTCTTTTCTCCTGAACACTCCACTTGTGTGTGGAGAAAGCAGCCCTGGGCAAAAGTGGGAGCCCCAGGCAGACCTGCCCCCCCCCCCCCCAGCCACACCAGAAACGGCTGCCTCAGGGCAGCCTAAGAAAGAACGATAAGATGTTCTCTTACCTGATACACCTGTGCTGTTGGGTGCACAGTAGAACCAAGGCAGGAAAAACCCAGGTAAGAAATTCCATTTTACTCCCATTTATTAGACAGAGGCGACCAAAACCCAGGCTCCCTGGCTCTCTTGGCAGCTCCAAAGCTCCAGTGGCGTTGCCATCCTTGCCTGCTGCGCTAAGTTGAGGCTGAGTTTAAAGCGATGGATGGTTGCTCAGCAGCAGCAGCCCCCACAATCTCCACAGTGCCCGGGAGCCATGCGGGCAGCCCGGCATGGGAGCAGGGAGCAGGGCAGCTCTCCTCTGCTCTCCTCCTCTCCTCTGCGGGAGGCTCAGTCCCGCCAGGC